AAAACAAAATATCATAAAATAAGTATGTAAGTATATACCTACAAATGACCTGATACTTGTTGAGTTAAATACCAAATATAGATCTTCAAGTATTTGGAAAAGTACCATGTTCAAGTGTTTAGGAAAGTACCAAGTCTAAAAAACTATAGTCAAAGATTTTCAAGTTAAATACTAAATATATCTTATATCCAATCTATATCCAACAATACTCACCCCTAGTTTTTTTGTAGTTAAATCTAAACTATATAACAGAAATAATTTTTTTTATATTTATTTCAAAATTTAAATAAGAACTTTTGATATAGAAACTTAAGTTTTTAATAATTAAAAAGTCACCTGCAAGAAAGAAAATATATAATCACTATTGACGAGCTTTAGTTGGGTATCTTTGGAAAGTTATTCTAATTTAATTTTTTTAAGTAGATATTCTAATTTGTTTTTAAAGATTAGAAGATGAAGTTATAAGATTATGACAGGGGGAATTTATTTTTTAACATTAAAAATAAGTTGCTGAATTTATTTTTTATCATTAAAAATAAGTTGCTGAATTTATTTTTTAACATTGGAAATAAGTTGCTTGATATTGTAGAAGTTTGAATTATAATTTTAATCACAAATTAAAATTTTTAAGAGTGAATATACTAATTCACCTAAACTCATTTCGGTAATCAAGGGAATTGTTTTACATAAATATAACAAGATGTCATAACAAAAAGAAATATGAATTGCTTTTAAAAGCAATTAACAAGAACTTAAAGACTCCAAATAATAAATTTTATGTTTAAACTTTGAGATGAGTTGGAGAAATTTGCATAAGAATTGAAGACTATTCCCTCATGTTCAATGTCAAATATGCTAAGAAAAAATAAAGATGGAACTATGAATATCTTCAATGAAAGTTCTCAACTGAATACCAAATCCTCCCTCCTCCGGCAAAGTTTCCCCAAGAAAATTCCACTACAATTTTAAGGAAATAGTTCAAAAAGATGTTCCATCTACAAATTCATTAATCCAAAGGATAAAAAATGATCAAACAAATCTCAAACTTTTATATCACGCTTGGTTCCAAATGCCGACCTATTCACGTGTGAAACTTTAAAAACAAAGCAAAATAATAAACTTAATTAACAAGTTGGAATGACGAAGTGTTAAAGCCTATCATTTTCAAATTTTCTTATAAATTAGAGAATGAGTTAGGATATGTCAAACCTTAATTCCTCTCAATTTCTAACTTGTCAAATTTCTTATTTATACCTTGCTTTTTGCAGCTTGACCCAAAAAAAAAAAAAAGAAAAAGAAAAAGAAAAAGACAATACATTCCTCTAAACAATTTGAGACTCCAAAGTAATTAAAGAAAGTTGGCCCAAAAAGGAAAAAAAGGAAATTAAAGAAAGCACGATTACACTGACTTTTCAGCTGGAAGGTCTTAGTTTTGCATATTCAACAAAAATAGAAAACACGGAGTACAAAGATTTTTCTTGCAACATGCATCATGCATTGTAAAAGATCAGCATGCAGTGTTTTCCCTGTGCCATTTTATCTTTTTCCTAAAAATCCTGTCCTTTTGGCCTTTTATCTAGTTTGTATAGAAGAAAACGCAGTACTTAAACCAGTATCCTGGCTGTTGTAACTTGAAAGAAAGGAAAATGATGATGGAAACTTTAAGAACGGAAACAATTTTTGCAGGAAAAGGGAAAAGCCATGGGAAATTGAGAATGGTTCTAACTCCAATCTATTCTGATAAAAACTTCTGGGAGAGATGAACAAGTTATTCTGTTATTGGCGGCACCTCTTTTTCCAGCATTGATGTTCCCTTGAAAATTGTCAGTTGGAACTGGCGTTGGTAATTCAACCGCTGTACAGAGATTGAGCTCAGAATTATTAGTTCTTTTTCACAAAGTAAAAATGCATCATAAATAGAATTAACTGCATTAATGTTATTTTTGTAAAACAAGGGGATTGAAGCAAATTATGGAAATATAAGAGTTAAGCTATTAACAGTTATTGATGATAACGAGTTTTCAGTTAATGCCCTTACTTGCTCATCACTCATCTCTCTGAAGCCAAATTTCTTTGTCCAGATTGACAAAGCTTCCTCAGCTGCAGGGAGTACAAGGTTTTCCACATTGAGGGAACTCAGTAACCTCTCAATGCATGAGAATAATGCCTGGAAATAACCCTATAAACATATTTCGAGATGGAAAGTTCAACATTAGGATAATGTTCGCTAGCATCAAACAGATGCGAAAGAGTAAGAATATAATTCACATCTAGATCACAGATTTTTTTATCCTACTTTTCCTTGATGTTTTCTGGTTGTTGCCACTAGAGGAAGCTCAGCAACTTCGCGACCAAATATCCTAAGGAGACCAGCTGATACAACAACAGACCTGTAGATACGGATTAGTATTAATAATGTTAATGACTCAAATGCACACAGTAAATGGATGAAACCACAGTAAAAATTGGAAAAACCCTTGTGACTTTGAAATGACACTAGAAATTGAAAAAACCCTGGAAACTTCCACCACCCTCACATCCGCAACCCACTCTCTTATCCATCTCACTACAGAGAAACCACCAAAAAAGGGAATCAGGAAGAGACATACCTCACAATCAAAACCACACAGTACATTCCAGCAAACTCCTGGCCAGAGATATTTCTCCTGCAGTAAGAAGAATAAACAAGGTTAGACCAAAATAGCCTGCCATGGCAAACAAGAGAACCTAAATGCTCTTAACAGGTAATTTTCCTTCTATGAACTAATATTCTTGTGGGGAGAACTTACTTAATAATACTTGGTTACTTACATCTAGATCAATACTTGCATAAACATATAAAACATACTTTCTGTATGTCCCATAGCGAAGGCATGGAACAATGAAATTCCAGTAATACCATTCACTTTTAAATAATCTGTCTTGACCATGTTAATAGAAATATAAGTAATCTATCTTGATCATGTTAATAGGAATACCAGTATCATAAAGCTGAAAAAGTTTAAAAACTCCCGAGAGATGCCCAATCAACTACATATAGAAATCATCAAAAGCATTAATTCCATGCTCCAAGGGCACCCACCATAAAAAAGAACAAATAGATAAATTGTAACATGTGTTTGTAGCATTCTGTTACAAGAGAAAAAAATAAAAAAGAAAAAAAGAAAAAGGTAATCGTGTTCACAACTATTACTACTCTTAGTAGTATACATTTTATGGCAGATCAGTTTTAGTAAAATTGTATAAAAGGCTAAGGAGAAAAATGTAGACTGATATCACAATCACATCAGTGGAGGAGCAGGTATGAAAGGAGACACAAACTGCAGAGAGAATAAAAACTTACCCATAGACCATGAGAGGAATAAGATCACGACCAGATGTTGCAACAATGGGATCAAAACAATCCTGTCAAGAAGAGAGGTCATAAGTTACACAATTTTTAATAAAAGAGGTATAAAAGGTCACAGAAAAATATTGAAATCCAGCTAACTACTACAATATATTGAAAATCAACATGTTTCATATCAAGAAACTCACTCGGAAAATTGCAGCAGCATTTGAAAGCAACGGCAAATTATCGGAACAACGGCTTTTGCCACTTAGAATTCGCCACTGAACCAATTCAGCATTTCCATCAACAAATAAACCTTTTTCTAGATACTTCCTTGTTATTGTTTGCAGCAATGAGGAAGGTATCATCTGCACTCCACTTGAAACAGAACTCTGGAGGGCCAGATAGATCCTATTGCAGTCATCACAACAAAACCATGTATCCTTGGGGATATCCTGAGAGAGAAAAAGAGTAAAGAACCTCAGAAAGCATATAGTAAAATATACAAAAAAAATCGAGTACAAAATTTCAGGACTTACTTTCAAATCACACATTCCACTATCCCTCAGGCAACCAATATGGAACTCCTTCTCACACTAGAGAGAAAACAAAGCAGTAAGGAGAACAAGAATATTAAAAGAATCATGTAAATGCAATAGGGTTGGGATATTATGCATACTTGATCACAGATAATAACTGTTCGATCATCAAAGACCTTGGCACTGAAATCATGTTCCCTAAAAAGTAATAGAAAAAGTGTGATTGCCCCATTAACATGAGCAGTAAACACAAAAATAAGAATCCATTGAATAAATTGGAAAACAAACAAATAATCAAAATTTGCTGCTGTGGTACATAATGATATGTTTAGGCACCTCCAAATATAAAAAATTAAAAAAAAAAAAGGAAAAAAAAAAGAGTTAGTGATCCTAAATCTTAGAGCCCAAGCCCCATGTGTTTGATCTTTGCCATTTGTTTTTGTGTTATCTTAATGCATGACCTGCAGTCAACTCCTAATAAATGTTTACCCCCCATGCTTCACCTTCATTTGCTTAGTGGTTATCTTAATCTATACCACCACACTTTTCACAAGCAGTGCCCTAGAAATGAAAGTACTAAAGCAAATTCTCCTCCAACACAGTCAAACAAATTCAATTACCCCCTCCTTTTGCCCATACAATGATGGAGGGCATCACGAAGACAATCCTTTACCTTGACGCTATGTAAGCAGGGCAATTGGAATTTTCAATTGAATATCAAGAGCTTTCTTTACACCTATGAAGTTCATGAACAGCTCTATATGCAAGAAAGTGTCCATGCACATGCATTGTTACATACAGTACACATATGTATACTTACATATGGCTGGAGAGGATTAAGTTAAGCATTCATGGATTTAACTTAATGCCTTCTTATTATAAAAAGGGGGCAAACTCAAAATCCCATAAATACCTGCAAATAGCACAACCACCAATCTGGAATTCTGGTGCTTTAACAACCCGTGTCAAGCGGATAAAAATTGGTCTTGACATATTTGGACTCTGTCCAGAACCAAATTTATCTATACAATTTGAACAGAACCATTCACCTTCAGGAAAGCATGGCAAACCCAAACAAGCTGCAATTCAAGCAAAGCCAGCTGAATTAATTTTTGAAAGAAACCTTACACCAAGAAAGACAAAAACTAAAAAGGGTGAAAGAGTGAGTTTGGTACCGAAAACAAAAAATCAAATTGATGACTTAATTTTTGCACAATTGAAATGTGAAAGAACAGAAAGTTCAGTCAACCGGACAATGTATTCATTCTGAAAATAATGCATACAATGTTCAATCATAAGACATTTCAGAGGAAAGACTCCATGCTAAGCTTAAATGAGAATTGCTAATGGCAAGCTGATAATGGCTAGCATGTTCAGCAACATACAACAAGCAGCAAATGCAATTCCATAAAGAAGTACCAAAGAGCAGGTGGAGAGGTTTTAAGATGAGAAGAAGGCCATAAAGGCCAATTGGCCAAGCCTATATTCATGCAGTTTATAACATCAATCTGAAAACAAGCACCTCCAAACAAGAAGCATTCAGAACATCAATCCAAAAGAAAAGGAAATCTCCACCAGAAAGTGTTAACTCACTAGGATGAAAAGCCTGAGGACACCCATGGCAAAGAAGCAAATTTCCCCCGTCCCCACATATCGCGCACATGTCATCACTTCCACCAGTTGTAAGCCTCTGTCCTTTTACCAAGGATACAGCTAGGTCATGAAGTGCCAATCCATTAGAAGTATATATGTGACGATACCTGCAAAAGAGAACAAAAACTTTTTAAAGAACTGTCACAAAAAAGGAAAAGGAAAAAAGAAAAGAAATTTTCTAGATCACTCACGGTTGTCTTCTAGCAGCCATTCCAGCATGAGCTTCAAACTGTGAAGGGCTAATCTGTTCACACAAAAACAAAAGGTAAAAAAACAATGAAATAGTTGAAAGGAAGAGAAAGAGTTAATTGACCTAGCATCAAATGCTAAAAACTCACCACTTTAGTGCAACAATCACAGAATATACCATTTCCCTGCTTGTAGCCCTCAAGTAACCTCTGGAAGGGGAAAAAAAAATTATTATATTAAAATGAATATTGTTGCCTATAGATACATGCAGTTACAAATCATTGACATGATTCTGCCAAACATATAGTTCCCAACTCCAACCTGTCCTTTGGCATAGTAAGCCAATTCAGCACCATCTGGAAGTCCATTTGGCATAAACAGTAACCGATGTAAGTCATTGTCCCTGCAAACAATAAGGAAAAGAATCCATGTAATTCAAGCAACTCGATATTTTACTTACAGGGGAAGCACAACACACATCCAGTTTACCTCTTCTTGGAGGCACCTTCAGCAGTTTTCTTTTGTTGTGCAACAGAGTTTGAGATTTCGGAGTATGGCCTACACCACAAGTAAAACATTAGAGGTATAGCCAAAAACAAAAGTCTATCTTATGTTGAATTGGTATCAGATAAGGTCACGCAAAAATCTTGAAAACTCCGCCGAAAACATGTTAGAATACCAAACAAAAAATTTCCTAGCTAGAAAGATTATACAACTTTTTAAGGTTTGTGCGTGTTTATTTGTTGAGAGAGAGAGAGAGAGAGAGAGAGAGAGAACCTTTTTAGAGAGTGTTTCTGCTTTTCTACCATCTCCACCTTTTGCTGTCTAACAGTAGCAGGATTATTCTGTGCCAAAGAAGAAGAAGTAGGGCTCATGCTTCCTTCCACAGAATTACTAGAACAAAAGAAAATTAAACAAATGTCAATAATCAGAAACAAAATGCAAAATGACTGACAAAGTATTATAGGGATTTCTTAGCTTTCACAGCATAATTAACTCTTCAATGATAGAATCAAGTTCAGGCTCAAAGGCGAATAAAATATCTTTTACTCCAAAAGCGTTCCTCTCTAAACTTAGTTAAATGACCCAAACACTTGAATTTACATCATAATCAGCTTTTGGTTCTAACTTCTAAATATTACACAAAAACAAGAACAAAACCACCAAAACACCACCTCTGAGTTTTCTTTCTCTCTTGAGGGCTAGGGTTTTGTAGAAGTTGAAACATGCATTAAGGAAATTAACAAATTTAATGCACGCTATACCTTACAAACATATCCGGCAAACTATGATGCTTCATATTATCTCGGTTATCAGCTTCATTCACTGAGTGACTTTCCCGTAGACTAGCTGCAAAGATCAAAAGAAGGTCAAAATCTGTAAAATTGAAAAAAAAAAAAATGACACTTAGCAACTCATTTCCCTATCTCAGTGCTCTCACAGAGTGGGTTGATAAAATTTACAGTGACATATGGTTGAAAGAGTAAATTGGTCTCTTCATCTAACCTCAGTCCTAAATACTATCAAGTTCTAAAGAACAAAAACAAAAATATAATCTTTACCCTGCCCTACACCACTAGAACAACTCTTACTTTCCTTCTTCTTGTTATCCCTTACACGTGCTAAAACAAAATAAGAGCAGTTACCAGAAATTTTAATTACTGCCAACTAATTGAATACTCATATATTTATATTATTTCCATTTTAAGTTGATCTCTTTTATTACACTTCCATAATCTAACTTTTTAGTTTGCATGCGTCACGTGTGTCTAAAAAGGCATGTCACCCTAGACAACGTTAACTTTAGATTTTCTTTTTGCACCTTTTTTTCCTTAAAAGAAAATGTAGTTAACTTGAATATGTGTGTTCAAGCAGGCATGCCCTCTCAAAAAGCCTCAATAAGACACTAAAATTGTAATTAAATTACATAAAGAAAAAACTCAAATGAGATATAAAATTAAATAAAAAAAAACTATCACCTTTCCAATACACGAAGGACTTTTCATTGATAGATGAACCAGCCATACTCTTTATCACTTCATCTAATATTCCAAGTGGAGCAGTCTTTAGTTCTTGAATAATACTATAAATTGGCTTCCCATTCTCTAAGTATATGTGATTATTTGGATGCCTGGTTTTAGCACCAGCATGCTGCTCAAACTCATAAGCACTCAGCACCTGCTCAAGGGTTCCAAAAATTTAGATATCATAAATACAACAGAAGCACACGAAGCATATGAAAACAACCTGAAAAGGGAGTTGCATGACATACTTTTGAGAAATTGCATGATGAACATTCACATAAATACCCTCCTGCATGAATAATTCCTTGAAGCACTCTCTGACAACCATTAAAACCAGCATAAGCTTCATATAAAACATGCATAAGCTTTGTAAACAAATTAAAGCTTGCAATCAACAGACAAAGTAGATGACTACAATAATACCTCTGAAGAAGTAGAAACATACTTCACCCGAGCTCCGTCAAGAATGCCAGTTGCTAACAACTTCTTAACATTTGTAGGGTAATTTCTGGCAACCACCTTCTTAGACATTTTCAATTCCATATTTGGAGCACACGGGTATGGACTACTCCATTCAACCGAACCATTACCATAAGTATTTTCCAGAACTAAAGCAGGTGATGGTTTATAATAATCCTCCTTTCTTTTGCTAAACTTAAAAGTAATTTTTCTAATCCCAGATGAACTAAGATGCTTCGGAATTTCCAATGTGACAGAAGTTGGCACAGGAACAGGAGTGTCAGAAGTTTGAGAGATTTCTGTTTGAAAAGTATCATTTCCACTAGGCTCTCCATCACTCGGACTCTCCTCACAGCCTGAATTCCCCAAGCATGCAGAAGCTACCTCTCCAGCTTGCTTACCGCTGCAAACCAATTCAGTTGGTTGGCTAGTTATGTCTTGCTCTTTGGGAGAACCTAAGGGATTCGAAACCTCAGACTGAATGTCCTCGTTTGACGTTTCTTTTGCTTGCTTCTTGTTAGGAAGGGAGTCCTCGGCAGCTTCTCGTTCGCTATCAAGAAACTCACGGTCTCGCTTAAAATCAGTCTTTGAAGCGTGTACACTTCCCATCGCACTATCCACCAAGGTTCCCAAACAAACTGCTCCTTCTCCCATTTAAAAAAAAAATTTCTCTAGAAATTTCTAAGCAGTGGATTCGGCAACCGAGTTCCCAGGTAGAAGCTTTCAAAAAAGAATGAACCCTAGAATTCAGAGTAATATATGAGGATTGAACTCATAGTAGCATGCAGATTCAAATTCAACCAAGAATTTTCGCCGCAAATACTAAACCGCCATTGTTCCCAAGATTCAAAATCAGAGGGAGAAACTAATTCAAGAACAAACAACAAGAAAATCGACTTAAATTATCAATAACTGCTTAACCGTAATTTGAATTTGAAATATAACGGAGCCACATGCAAAAATTTGACCAACACCCACCTATTTCAAAGCCAAGAATCAACTGAAATCTGCAGAAATCGAATCAAAGAAACCTCGAGATTGAAGCATTCATACAGTTCTTGTGAAATCTAATGGCCAAACAGAAGTAAGACGAGAAATCGAGATTTGCAAATCTAGCAGATCTAAGAGGCTGGAGATAAGCTTGAAGAACAATTACATGATTTGGATTGAATTGATAGAAGAAGAGTTGGTGATTAGGGTTAGGGTTTTGAATTTTCCTCTGAAAAGAAATACAGAGGGAACGGAGATGGCGGCAAGAAACCAGAACAAAGAGCTTGGTTCGCGGTCGAGATTTAACTTTCAAGATAGAGAAACGGAAGAGGGAAAATAGAATTGTGTTTTTTTTATTTTATTTTATTAAAAGGGCAAAAAGGGGAGGAGAGTTGGTGACGATATTTGGAAGATACCAGAAGCCAAGTGGATATATCTTTGGTGGGACCGTAACTAGATGGTAGTCACTGGACCTATGAGGTCTTTCCACGTAGGAAGACTGCGCTGATGATGTGGACACCTGAGACAGCAGTGGATGAGGTGTCAAGGACTGAGACTTGTGTCAGCTAATCGTAAAACTAATAATAATTTTTTTATATTATATTTTGATATAATTCTTTATATTATTAAATAAATAGATATATTTAATATTATAAATTTTATATAAATTAAAAAAATTAATCAT